AAAAAACATAAATTCAAAGATACAAGAAGCCACATCAAGACATACTGTAGTTAAACTTCAGAATACCAAAGAAAAAAGAACTTTCAAAGCAGAGACAACAGATTGCCTACAAAGAAAAACATGGCTTCTCTGCAGCAATGATGTAAGCCAGAAGACGGTGGACAACATCTTCTGAGTGTTGAGAGAAAATAACTGTTAACTTAGAATCTGACAGTAAACTAGCAAAAATCTTTCCCTAACAAAGATGAAATACAGACATTTATATAAGTACAAAAACAAGGTTTACCATTAACAAATTTCCAATAAAGGAACTTCTAAAAGATYTACTTCAGGAAGAAGAAAAATGATACCCACAGAAAATCTTTTATTTTAAAAAGAAATAGTAACACTGGGCATGGTGGCACACACCTGTAATCCCAGCAACTCAGGATGCTGAGGCAGGAGGATTGCAAGTTTTGAGGCCAGCCTCAGCAACATGGTGAGACCCTGTCTCAAAATAAAAATAAAAAGGGCTGGGGGGATAAGCTGGGGTTGTAGCTCAGCAGTAAAGTGCTTGCCTAGCATATGTGAGGCACTGGGTTCAATTCTCAGCACCACATATAAATAAATAAATAAATAAAATAAAGGTCTATCAACAACTAAAAAAACCAACAAACAAAAAAGGGGTGGCTGGGAGTGTAGCTTAGTGGTGGAACACCCCTAGGTTCAAGCCCTAGTACCACCAAAAAAAAAAAAAAAAGAAGAAAAACTGAAACATACACATGAATATCTAAATATTATTAGTATAAAATACAAAATTTTGGGCTGGGGATGTGGCTCAAGCGGTAACGTGCTCACCTGGTATGCGCGGGGCACTGGGTTCCATCCTCAGCACCACATAAAAATAAAAAAAAAATAAAGATGTTGTGTTCACCAAAAACTGAAAAATAAATATTTTTCAAAAATTATCTCTCTCTTAAAAAATTTTAAAAAATAAAATACAAAAATTAAAGCTAGAATAGAAATAAAATACTGGTCAATAATTAGCAATGGAAGGCAGAAAAGAAGTGATTGGAATAGTAAAGCATTTAAAATTTTTTTTGGTACCAGGGATAAAACCCAGAGGTGCTTAACCATTGAGCCACATCCCAGCCCTTTTCATTTTTTATTTTGAGGCAGTGTCTTACTAAATTGCTTAGTATGGGCCTCACTAAATTGCTCAGGTTGGTCTCAAACTTACAATCCTCCTGTCTTAGCCTCCTGCATCACTGGGATTACAGGCATGCACTACTGCGCCCAGCTAAAATGTCTATATATTATTAAATATATGTCTATATATTATTTTAGAAAGCATTTAATACTAAGTTTAGGTGTTAAGCTAAATGCAAGGTAAATTTGTGTGTGTGTGTGTGTGTGTGTGTGTGTGTGTTGCTGGGGATTGAACCCATGGCCTTGTGCATGCAAGGCAAGGACTCTACCAACTGAGCTATATCCCTAGCCCATTTCTTTTTCTTTTTTTTTTTTTTTT